AAATGGAGCTGTGTTCTGATTTGAGCCCCAAAACCACAGGGCACCGAGGCTGGTGACTAGTTGCAAATGGCCAGCCAGGGCATGTGGCTTGGGAAGGGTGGGGAGAGCGTTGGCATCAGGCTGTTTTCAACTTTTTAAAAAACACTCTTTGGCTTCCTTTTATTTCTGAGGATTACATGAAATGTGAGCAATACAGGAAAGTGTCCCGGCTGGGCCCTGGGTGTAGGCCAAAACCACAGGGCACCGAGGCTGGTGACTAGTTGCAAATGGCCAGCCAGGGCATGTGGCTTGGGAAGGGTGGGGAGAGCGTTGGCATCAGGCTGTTTTCAACTTTTTAAAAAACACTCTTTGGCTTCCTTTTATTTCTGAGGATTACATGAAATGTGAGCAATACAGGAAAGTGTCCCGGCTGGGCCCTGGGTGTAGGCCCGCTCCCTGCCGGCAGTGTGGCTTTCGCCGCACCCTGTACCTGTCTCCTCCTTGACTCTGTCCCGTGTGGTCCGAGCAGAGGCCCTACTTGGAGGAGGAGCTCATGAAGCTGTTCTCGATGCAGAGCACAACATAGGCATTTTGGCAGCTCACGGCCTCCTGCCCCAGCAGCCTGCCTGCCAGCAGTGAGGAGGCCTGGCCTGTGGCTGAGGCAGCCTCTGTCCTCCACGTCTCACAGTAGCTCTCAGTCAGCCGGCGACCACTGGGGTCTGAACCGTGCCACACGCTCTTCTGGGGCCTGCAAAACACACCAGGTGCCAGTCACTGCCAGGCCCTGCTCTCCCAGGGCAGCAGAGGTGCAGCCTGGTGGCTGGCCTTGGGGGCCATAGGAGCCACCTAGGTCCATGACCTGGACTCCTGTGATACCCTGCTCACTGCCTGTTGGGCCCCACCCACACTGCTGCTACCAGACACACCCACTTAAGGGCAGGGGTGGGAGGGTGTGTGTGCCTAGCTGAGCTGTGTCACCTCGGAGGGCTAGTCCTTCCGAGGTAGGTGAGCCTGGCTCTCAGCGTCCTGTGGGTTGGAGGCATCCTGGTGCCACATGGCTGGGAGTGAGCTCCACCTGTCTAGGGCCTGGCCTCTGGCCTGCCCTGCATACAGGCTCAGCCCAGCCTGCCACAGTGCTCACATCACAGACTGAGGCCGCCCTCCCCACCTTCCCAAGCCACATCCCAGCAGAGGGCCAGAGGTTCAGGCATCTCCAGGGACTGCTTGTCCCACACACCCAGTGTGGGAACAAGTACCACTTATCCCTGACAGGTGGAGGGACACTTGGGTGATGCCTCTTTGAGAACAATCTGGTAATTCCTGCCAGTGCTTTCAGTGTGTGGATGCTTGACTCAGAACTCCGCTCGAGTTCACTTACAGAGTAACTGCCATGCTGTTCAAGTGGGGAAACAGGCGGGAGTTCTCAGACCACACTGTTCTGAAAACATCGCTAATACAAGTTCTTAAAGAGCACTTTTCTCTTTTCCTCATGCTCTCTGACTTGGCGGCTTTAAAGTAAGGAGTGTGTGGAGACCTAGGGTGTCACATGGAAGCCAGACCACTGGGAACATTTCCCCCCTGTCTACACTGGGGCACTTACCAGGCGGGGTGCCTCAGGACGTCTCTGCCATCAAAAGAGAAGATGCGAGCTGCAGGTGGCAGCTGGCCCTCAGAGCCTGAGAACAGGGCCTCCCAGTTGGGGAACAGCACTTCGTCCTGTGGAAGGAACAAGGGTGTGGGGTCTCAGTCCATCTCTGTCATGTCTGCCAAAGGGTTGAATGCCAGGAGAGCCCAGCCCTGGCCTGGCCGCCTCAGACCCAGAGAGCTGTGTGGGGTGAGGAGCACACAGCAGGGACTGAGGGTGATGAGGGGGAGGGGCGTGTGGGGTGAGCTGGCCCCCAGAACCCAGGACCTGCAAGTCCACCACTGCTGGTTCTGGAGAATGCTGGTACTCCCCTGGCATCCAGAAACCACAATCCAACTTGGAAAGTAGCTAAAGAGCACAGTTATTTGATGGGCACCCTGGCTGGGCTCAGGTCACTGTGCAGACACCCCATGACTTCCTGGGCTACTTCGGCTCTATCTAGAAGTTACCAGCTGGGTAGAGGTGGCAGGCCCTGCCCTGATGTCATCCTGGAGGCCCAGGCCTACACTTAAGACACTGTATGCTGATAGGGCACCCTGACTCACCTTGAGGTTGACAATGGGCACAGCCCCACGGTCAGCACGGCGCACGATGCTGTAAAGGTCCTGCAGCCGGGAGGATAAGAAGGCGCGGAAGGTGCCGGCCAACCCCACGGCACGCGCCTGCTGGAAGCACTGGAAGTCGGCTCCGCGGATGCCACGCATGCCGCCTGACAGCGGGCCGTTGAGTGCCACCAGGTGCAACTGTGAGAGAGGCCGGCATGTCATGCATAGCTGCACCCAGGGAAAGACTCGGAGGTGGGTGATAGTGCGATGCCATGTCATGGCACTCAGGGGCCTGGGACAGCCTGTGGGCAACTGCCGGGCCAAGCCTGCCTTCCAAGCAGCCCAGCCCCACAGCCTGCCCCATCCTCAGCCATGCAGCCTCCTACGCAGGATGGGCTTCCTAGAGTCCTGGGGCATCATCTTACCCTGCTGCCCAGCTCCTTGTGCATGAGCTGTTACCTTCCATGATGGACACTTGGCCAGCAAAGTCTCAGACTCAGTTATAGCTGCAGAATTACAGCACCCTGGCAACCCTGCAGCAAAGGCCTGGTGGCCAAACACCCACCCCAGGGCACTCACCACTGGCTGGAAGTCCTGGTGCGTATGAGCAGGAGAGCTCGTGGGGTGTGCTGGCCTGAGGTGCACGTAGGAGCCATGGTACGGAACTCCAGGGTAGGGCTGGGGATTTGGCAGGCGCGGGGGATTGGCCAGGAAGTCATCTGCCCTCCAGGGCCGCAGAGTGGAGTGGGGTTGCTCTCTCTTGGGGTATGGGTTGCCCTGGTGTAGCTGCACCACAGGGGGCTCCAGG